AAGCTGCTCATACTTCGAAACTCAAGTCAATGTACAGTCACTCAACTGTTAGTCAATTCAACTTCTAACACAAACTCTTTTTATTTAACTTATTTTTTGTTTTGGTTAATATGATTGGTATTTTAATCGTCCTATGTATTTTTACCCTTGCTTATTTTCTTGGATATTATATTTACGATAATTATTTTCGTGCTGAATACGTACCATATGAACTATTGAAAAGTAAACGTGTTATTATAACAGGAGCTAGTCGAGGAATCGGTGAACAATTTGCCTATGAATATGCGAAACACGGTACCTGTCTCATCTTAGCATCACGTCAGTTAAAGGATTTGGAATCGGTGGCACAACAGTGTCGGCAGTTGGGCTATCAAAAAGTAGAATGCGTCCAATTTGATGCAGGTGAGCAAAAATCATGTCAAAATCTCATCGAAACGTCCTTAAAACATTATAATGGAATCGATATTCTTGTTTTAAACCACACACAATCTGTATAGTGTTCATTTCATGAAGTTGAAGATCCCATTCAAACAGCACACAGTATAATGAATGTGGACTTTTTCGGATATTTTCACACAGGTAAGAATTTCAAATATCTTTTTACGCCCAACAGCGTTTTAAAAATGAAAACCATAATTTAGCCATGTACGCTCTACCCCATTTGGAGAAAGAAGGAACAATCAATCAGCCATCGCAAATTATTGTCATTTCAAGTTCAGCAGGTCTCCATTCGCTACCCAAAGTTCATCTTTACGATGAGTTGTCATACAAAATTATCATTCTCACACAAACTGAATAAGAAGTGCTTTTGTTTCAGGCACAAGCAAAAGTGCAATAACGTCGTTCTTTGAAAATCTCCGATGTGAATTACGCTCACGAGGGAACCTATCCAACTGTCGGACGCCGTTTGACTCCATATTTTGGCTATGAGTAGGACTCAGTGAAAGATAACTAAACCCTTCTTTTAATGAGATTTAATTATAGTCCGCAAATTTTTGATTAAAATGAGACGTCTTCCAGCTCTACACGACCTTTCTTTGCAAAGTTATAGAATTTACAAGAAAAGCCCTAAATGTTTATTGTCAGCTCAAAGCTACAGAAATAAGAAGAAAATAATTTAGGGCTTTTCTTGTAAATTCTATAACTTTGCAAAGAAAGGTCGTGTAGAGCTGGAAGACGTCTCATTTTAATCAAAAACTTGCGGACTATAATTAAATCTCATTAAAAGAAGGGTTTAGTTATCTTTTAGAGTTCTTGAAAAACTGTTTTTCCAGAAAACGGGGTCTTCAAGAGTCATGGGCACGAACCCTTTTAGGCTTTTCCTAGTCTCACTGAGTCCTACTCATAGCCAAAATATGGAGTCAAACGGCGTCCGACAGTTGGATAGGTTCCCTCGTCAGCTGACAAAAACAAAGTCACCATTACAACCAGTATCTCAGCTTTCATCGGCACTGAAACTGCCATAAAGTCAGTGAATAAAAACATTCATTTTCTCGCTCAAGATTCCAATAAAACCGCTCAAGTTGTAATGGCTGCTGCACTATTAAAAAGACACCGCATATTTTATCCTAAGTCAGTGCAAATCATGCCAGTTGTCTACTACACATGTCCTGCATTATACGATCTTGTTTATCGATTAGCACCGTGAAAATAACGAAATACAAGAGTATATTGAAGAAAATCGGATAAACCAGCAAAAATGAAATTATTGTGATAGTATTGCATTCGACAATGCGCATGCTATATAAAAATACTACAGACAGAGAATAATATTGTTTTATATTATGTTTTAGCCCGCAATAAGAATAACTACTGCAAAAATTTGACTAATTTCATCGCCTTGATAAGAAAACATTTCCTTGTGTCAAGTGTGATGCGGTATATTTAAATCATGGTAAATTAACACGAGTGTGTTGCTCTGATTTTTTCGTGAATCATGTTTTATCTCTGGCACATGGACCGGGACCATATTTTTCGTTCGGATCCTTTTTCTATCTCATAAAACTTGAAGGTAGCAGTTTAATATTTCTCATAGTAAGAGAACTATCGACAGTACTCCAGCGCTGTCTTGCCGATTTTTTTCAAAAGAAAACTATTCTGCTAATTGCTCTCCGCTCTCATTCGAAAATAATACGATATGTTTTACATTCCTAATATTAATTATATGTTTATGTGCTCGAAACATGTCCGAAAAAGCCGATTAGAGAGTTCTATTAATAGTTTGTGTTAGAAAACTCATAAAAAGCACTGATAATAATTTGACTGTTAGTTGTTTGACGATGACTACGATGATAAAAAGTTCGCTTCATATTCACACCTACCAGAAGCCATACGGATTTTCACACTTCATTATGCATTTAAGCAGATCTATCTCGACTCTCAAGTTGAAAGCTAAATCATAATAATATAGCTATATGGGTAAAAGGAAATCAAATAAAAACACGCGTTTCAGAAGTTGTTTTTTTTCAAATAAGTCTGTGATTACCACTACATTTTCCACATTTTATTTGATTACGGGCAGTTTCATTTAAAAAATCGATTCGGAGAAGAGATGTTGGAGTATTTTGTGCAGCATTTTTTATTCGTGATACAGCGACAACATCGGATACAATATCTCTGATATCTGTTAAAAGATCGATTTCATTTATAGATGAATCAACATTTTTCAATACACAGCTAAACGTTTTTTGAATAACTTTCGCAGCACGCGATGTGTAAGCGAAACCATCACCAAATAGATTTGAGGGAAGGCTAATCAAAAGATGCTGTTGTGCTGCAGCATCTTGTGGGAATAAAGCAAGTCTTTCTGTGAATTGAAACGATATGTAGTTGGACATTTATGAATATTTTTCATATCAATTAATTTTGTTCGTATTTCATTCGGGCCGGAGTGTTTCCAGTAAACGATAAAATAAAT